ACTGACTGACTCTCCATATTCGTTGACTACTTTTTTTTTGAAGCTTGTCATTCTGACTTTCTGTCTTGGTTTTTCGTTCCCATCAATTCTCTTATCGTTTTTGATCCATTTTCATTGTTTTCTCGCTGTTCTCTTCCTTGTTGGTCTATCTTTGTTCCACACCCTCGTCTTCTTTATCTTCCTTTCAACTTTCTCTCTCTCATTTGTGTTTGTTCCGCTCTTGTCATGCTGTACTTATCGAGCTTCTCGCTACTTCTCTCATTCATTTTCAACTCTCCTTCTCCCTCCTTCGCCTTCACAACAAGCTTCGGTAGTGACCGTGACAAGTAAAACTGAAGCTGCTTCCTATCCTAGAACTCAACAAGGAGAGTAAATTGCTGTTCCCCACTAAGATGTGAAACTCTTTCCCTGGAGTATTCGGTCTGTTGAACCCTGGTCAGGTGAACTACAAGACTTGACATCTTGTATTCGTCATTGACCTTGCTCACACCATTGAGATTGTCCCATGTGTTTGCTTCTTCCTCCGCATCCCTCTCGCGTCACTCTCAATCGCTATTCGACTGTGTTGGAACAGAGTGCGTTCCTGTTGAAGACCTAGCAAGAAGAAGAGCTGATTAGGTTGTATCAAGCTAAACATGTTCCTCGGTATCTGTCATGTCAGAACCTCTCATGATCAACTCACTCGAACGTAGATTCTCATCACGAGCTTTCATCATGCTCATCGTGTTCTCCTGCCCTGCCGTGTAACAGGCAGAGGGATCGGAAGTTCAGACGGCAGGTGACGGAGGCGGAACTACATTAAACCGCAGCTCTACGTCTTATCACCTGCGTGCCTCGCTCTGGTGACCGCTGGGGTGACTTCATACAGCATGACACACGTGCAGGTCTTGGCAGATCTTCATGTTGCTGTGTTATAGTTCATCGTGTTTATCATTTCTAACGCAAAACGTTTAGTGAAAACAACTGACAAGGACAAGTCACATCAGCACAAGCAATCGTCGTCGTTTTCATCCTCTGCGCTCATCAAGACACGCTGGTATTTACAATTATTGACACATGTACATATCTACATCACTTGGCCCGGGTCACTTTCACCATGGCTTGCGATTCATCGCCTCCTTCTGAGCAAGCAGCAGCCTCCCCGTCATCTCTTCTGCCTCCGATGCTCGCAGCATCTGAAAGCGCGCCGGCTTCACGGCTCCAAGAGCATGAGGAGGAGCTTTCTGCTGAGCGCCAGCCTTGCCGGAGTTGCTGCCGAGGAAGGTCTGTTTCGCCATCAGCTCCATGCTGGTGCTGGCGATTGCTGGCTGCATTCCAAAGGAGAATTGCGAGGGGATGTAAAGTTCGCTGAACATCACGAGGATGGGGAGAAGGAGGAGGAAGAGCTTGGAAGAGCTTGAGCTTGCTTGGGTTTGTCCTTGGACACTCGAGTTCGAATCACTGCGAGGTAACATGTCAAAACGAAGACTACTAGTTTCAGTACGTGGTGAATGAACAACCGATTGTAAGATACGAAAAATAAAAGCTATGGAGCACATACTGAGCGAACTCTGACATGCTCATGGGTGACTTTTGACTTCTGCTGTTGCAAAACAATGGTTCCCTCACTACCACACAACCATCCTCTGGTTGGCCCGTACAGTTTCTCAACTAGCATCCATCTACATTCCATTGGCATTCCATCATGTATTCTGTACAGTCTTTCAGAAACTTCAGTCCTCTGCTAATGAGACATCAAGCGACAATCTATGATGGTCTGAAAACGTTCTCCTCGACAACCTTCACTTTCTCATCCATCCCTCGAGATATCTTCTGAGCGCTTTCTTCTCTGCCTTGTCTCCTCTTCCTCCTCTTCTTCCCGACCTCCCGCCATGCCATGACTGTGCCAAGATGTGTGCCATGCGCGGCTGTGTGAAGTTTCCTCCATTACCACCCACCCCATTCCTCGGACCCTGTGTTATGTCTCAAAACATCCCTCTGATCACCCCTACAAACGGAACAGTTCTAGCTTGATTTACAGGGGTGGGTATATCCAGGACCCGTCTACAACAACGTCGATTTTAATCCTCCAGAAAGTGAGAGGGGTGGGTGGGTTCCACACCACCCGTGCTGGACTCCGGTACTAGAGTTCAGAATCTGTCGAAGACTGTACTACCCTACCTACCTTCCGTAAGTACCCTACCATCCTCAAATCAAAATTACCCACCCCCTCTTTTAGTTTGTACGGCTAAAACTTGTCTAAGCACCCCCCACGTCATCTCCCACCCCCTTGTTATCCGACCTACCGTTGGTAGAGGTTCCCAGGGGGAAGCTAAATATCACCCTACCCCCTCATTACATACGTGTAGCCCCACCCCCTGTACCCCTACCCCCCTGTCCCTCACACTTTTTTCACTTTGGTTTGTGGACCAAGAGAGGATACCCCACCCCTAGACTTCTCAACGAACCCCATTGACTACCCCTCAAATTCCTTGCTAGTACCCCTTAATTGGCATAACCCCCCCCATTGCTAATAATCTACGAACGACTCACAGGACTCACTATTGAGAGGCGACCGGGCCCGGCGCCCGGCTTGGCTGGGCCCGGGCCCGCCGGACTCCGGAGGCCCTCCGGGATAGGACCGTCAGACTCGCCGAGTCCGGGAACTCAAGGGCCGGGCACCGTAGCACAGCCATCTGCCAGTTCTCCTGATTGTCCTCGTACTGCCATGATTTTTAGCTTAACCACTCCGACACGGTGGCCGGCGCAGACGGTGCCACCCGGTCACCGTCGGCTGAGTGCCTGACAGACGGTGACTCAGTGATGGGAGCCTGACAGTGAGGGCCTGGGAAATCATGATATGACCGGGACAATGAGGAAGCCTTGATGAGGCCCCAGTTCCGCGCCGCCCTCGGACCGTCGGCGTACAGCGGCCCGGGCCCCCGGGCCCGGGGTTTGCCGCATCATTGAACTTTGTGAGCCACTGCGGCTGCCGGCGCCGCGGGCTGACGGTTCGACCGACCGTGTCCACGGGCCCGGCGGCCGCGGCCACGCCGCGCCGCGCCGGGCGGCGCGTGCGGTGGCAGCCTGTGGGCCGGGCCGCCCAGAGGTGGACCCGGCGGCGGCCCCCGTCCGACCGTCACGGTCCGAGGGTCGGACTTCCGCCGAAGTTGCTGTCGCAGTCACGGTCGGACTCATCGCTGACTTGGAGGAATCGGACTGGCAGAGTCTCACTGAAATCGAAGTCCCTAACTTAAGGTTACTTGAGATAAACTACCTTGGTACGCACAAACACCGTCAGGCGCCGGGCTCAGCGGCGCAGGCCCAGGATACCTTGTCAGTGTAGCATCACAGTTGAGAGTCAGTCGGGGACCAATGCTCAGCGGCTACCGTACGCCTGACGGTACGGTCTGTCACAAGCCATGATACTTTGGTGGAGAGCTCTCGGTCTTCGCTGTCGGTTCTTGTAGGTAAGATCATCCGATCAATCTCTGAGACGGCTGAGTTGTTGGGCGCAACTGAGAGGCCGGCGATCCGAGCCAGGCCGGGACGACACTCATCGGACACAATCTTAGTGTCAGTAATGACTCCTCACAGCGGCCTTATAGCGGACGGTTATGGTTGTTTCAGGGACATTGACAAGAGCTTGACTCTGTGAGGTGAATCTACTGTAGATGGTGACAGAAATCGGTCCAGGGCAATCACTGAATCGCCGATGATCAGCTCGCCATGGGAACCTTATGGTAACTTGAACAAGCATATTTGCACAAATGTGGAGCCAGACATTGCACTGCAAATGGCACCCAGTCGAACAAAGATAGAGCCGCATGAAGCAGCTGATTATAGTACAAATGTCGTGCTGTATGCTCAGGTACTCTCGGTCAACGACGGACAAGTCACCCGCACTAGTGTCATCGACTACTAGACACTGTGATTCAGCAGTCTTGCCATGATAGTCACTGAAAGTTGGGAGGAGCTTGACGGCAGGGCCTGACGGGCCGCGCGAATAAGTTCAGGTCCAGACCGTATTGAACGTCAAACAAGCCTACGTCAACTTCGGCCTGAGGCGAAAGCAAACTAAGGCTCAGTACTTCGTCTGGGAGAGTCTTTCAACCGCCGTAATAGCATGACTGAGAGCGACGCTCTTCGTCTGGGAGTATCTTACGTACAAGACTGAGAGCGAGGCTCTTCGTCTGAGAGTATCTTACGTACAAGACTGAGAGCAAGGCTCTTCGTCTGGGAGTATCTTACGTACAAGACTGAGAGCAAGGCTCTTCGTCTGGGAGTATCTTACGTACAAGACTGAGAGCAAGGCTCTTCGTCTGGGAGTATCTTACGTACAAGACTGAGAGCAAGGCTCTTCGTCTGGGAGTATCTTACGTACAAGACTGAGAGCAAGGCTCCTCCTCTTCTTGCTCATCTTGCGCTTCCTGCTCCTCCATCTTTGTCTGTCGGTCCTCACCAGCCTGATCGTCATCTGCATCTGGTCTCACTACCCCATCGCTGTTCCTCAGTGATGCTGCACTTTCTTTCCTTGACTTTGGCAGGTCAGTGTTCCTACGCCCTCGGGTTCACGTTCTGTAAGAGACGCACCATCCGTCTGATCTTGTACTTGTACACCTTGTTGGTGCTGTCAGCCATAACTATGTTGTCTATCAAGTCGAATGCACGCTCTTTTCGTTTTTGCCGCGCCTCCATCTCCTCATTTCTTTGTTGCAATTTTCACTGGGGTTCTGTGTGAGGTGGGGCGGTCTTGTACGTAAGATACTCCCAGACGAAGACGAGGAGGACGTGCATGAGCAGCAGGCAGAGCAGGCAGAGGAGGAGGAGCGGGAAGAGGCAGATTCGGAGTCAGATACACTGAATGCGGACGTGTCAGGATACCAGGCGAGCACACTGGCAAGAACTCTTTCATCAGGTACACTGCAGGGATACAAGAGCGCCACGAGAGCATACTACAGGGATAAGCATGTAGCCTTGGAGGCGAGAGGACTGCCAGGGGATGGACGTATTGGCAGTGAAAGGGTATGCGATAATTGGCCTTCTTCTATGCAACTGGTGTGATTGTATAGGCAGTATGCATACAAGCCCGGCCATCTTACAAGGCCTCTCAAGAAACCGGCCATGTCAAGTCACAGACGGTCTGAGCAGTTTATAAAAACAAGTCGTGAGACGTCAGAAATGCTCCATGACAGCAGGCAGAAATAATCAGAAGGATTCTGAGTGAACATGCTTCGCTGCGTCACATCCAAGTTCAAACAAAGATTATGGATAACGAGTTCATTTCAGATCATAGTAGTCGAGTCCCCAGCGTCAACTCTCCAATGACGACAAAGATATTCTTTTCCTTGCCTGTTATCAATCATTCGCTGAAGAACGTAAGACATCATTCCACTGGATCGAGAAGGTTGCAGTCATCATCAAAGGAAGCAAAGATATGGCATTCTGCTCACAGTGACACCTTGAAAGAGAATCCATATCCATCGTGGATGACTCCGAAACAAGTCGATGGATTCCTTGTGTGCATCACGCACATCTAGATAGATCTGAGCTGGCAAAGCTCCTTGCTTTCAACGCTAGGGTACTAACTTGATGTCCATGGTCAAGCCAGAGGACCGACAGTCTTGCGGCATTAAAAACAAGTGACACGTTACGGTCACACCTTGTGATATCCTTCAGGCTTACATGGAAGCTATCCCGCTGCCTTGCGCTCCATGCCAACCAGAAATGCTCTGCTCCTTTCTTCCCCGGCTTTCCAACCGTGCCTCGAGAGCTCTCCCTCTCCCTCCACATTGCCCACTCTGAAATGGCTGCCATGATGGAGTCTTTGGGCACAAGAAACGCTATCTCCACTGTCCATCCTTGGCCTTCCGCTATGTCGAGAGCCTCCAGGCACTCTGAGAAGTACCGCAGCTTCAGATCACGCGTCGCTCGCGTGCTTGTCTGCACAAACAGCACTAGCTTCTTCCCTGGGCCCTACTATGACAGCATCGTATCCGCCCCGATTCCACTTCCACGGCTTCAGGCATACCAGAAGCTCGTAGCCTTTCTTCGGGTCAAAGTCCAGCACGGCACACCTTTCCCAGGCGACATCTTGTAACAGCATTTCAAACAAAAATCCTCCAAGTACCGGGTTACGGTTGCCATCTGCAAATGCCTCTATCTCCTTCACCATTGCTTCTCCCCTACAAATTGCCAGTTCCGTCGCAGCATACCTGCTGATAAGTCCAGAGTACTCCTGTCCATTGATAAGGTACTTCCCGTGCAGCCGGTTCACCAATTCCGATGTTCGGTCACCTTGCTTGAAATTCAACATGGCATTGTAGTCCTGCACGCTTCCAATCGCTACACTGAGGCGTTTCATAACCTCGTCCGTCGTGAAGTCAAACATGTAACGGCAAGAGCCTCCAGCAATCTGATACTTTGACTCTACCATACTCCCAGACAAAGAGCCTTGCTCTCAGTCATGCTATTACAGCAGTTGAACGACTCTCCCAGACGAAGTACTGAGCCTTAGTTTGCTTTCGCCTCAGGCCGAAGTTGACGTAGGCTTGTTTGACGTTCAATACGGTCTGGACCTGAACTTATTCGCGCGGCCCGTCAGGCCATGCCGTCAAGCTCCTTCCAACTTTCAGTGACTATCCAAGACTGCTATCACAGTGTCTAGTTGTCGATGACACTAGTGCGGGTGACTTGTCCGTCTTTGACCGAGAGTACCTGAGCATACAGCACGACATTTGTACTATCATCAGCTGCTTCATGCGGCTCTATCTTTGTTCGACTGGGTGCCATTTGCAGTGCCGCTATGATATCTGGCTCCACATTTGTGCAAATATGCTTGTTCAAGTTACCATAAGTGACCGTTAAAACTTAGTTAATCACAGTGAGTCATCCGGGCCCGGGGAACACGTGCCGGTCCGGGTCATGAACATGGAGACCGTGACTGACCGTCGGACGCCGGTGACCTGACGGGCCGCGAGCCTGTGACAGGCCGCGCTCAGAGTCGGATCCCGCGGCGCCGCCGCGTCACGAGTCGGGAGTCCGGCGTTCCGCCGTCAAGTTCAACTGGCCGCGAGACGCTGACTCGGACTTCCTAGTTGAGACGACCCGGTTGACCGTGCCCGGGCCCGGCCGGTGAACCGTGACCGTACGGTGTAAGAGTGCAGCGGCACTGTCACACCGTAGTAGTCACTGATTACAGCCACGGTACTACGGTAAGGCGCGGCTTGTGATGAACGGTCACGGTCGCCGGGCGCCGAGTCGCGGCCGCCGGGCGGGCCCCGCCGGACCGGGGCGCGCCCGGCCCGCCGATCGCCGACCGGGTACCGTGACGGACACCAGCGACCATCTTACTTGAAGTTATGTGGCTGGGGCGAGCCTCGGATCAAAGTTATCAGACATGTGCCCAAAGCAGCTCTCTCACACACCGTAGAGTCTCTTCATCACAGTGGGCTGGACTCACCTCTGTACGGGTTTCAGTGATGTTTTTGAATTCACCACCAACATTCTTCAAGCTGGACAAGAGAGCAAGTATGACAACAACTCTTCCAAGTTCCGAGCGTGGGTCTTGGAGTCATAATCTGGTCTTTCATTTCCTTTGACATCATGATCGGACCAAGGAAGAGACTCTGAGCGATTCGACAGAACAAGAGCAAGTCGAGATCGACACGATGCCTGCAGTAACCAAAAGTGAACTAGTTTTTGAAGAGAGTTCCTCTCCTGGTGCAGAGGAGGATAAAGAGGCTGATGCCTTGAAGCAACTTTGGAAGGAGCACAGAAATCTCAGGCCGACAGCTCGCATGACCGCAACCGTTGAACAATGAAGAGCGCGGGGAGGATCAGGAGGCTGAGACTGCAGCCTGGCAGGTGTCCCTGTCGATGTCAAAGCTGAAGGAAGGGAAGTAGAAGAGATTACAGTTGAAGTCAGCAGCACTGTAGAGACTGAGAAGAGCACATGCGCACATCTCGACAAGTAATGACTGAAGTACAGGTTTCTCTGTTGATGCCTTCCACAGCCAGCTGCGACCATCGTGTACGAGACTCACCCGCTCTGAACCTTTTAGCCCTCTTTCAGCAGTGCAGACTGATGGCCTTGTCTCTGAAAATCTTCAGCATGATATCCACCGACTGTGCCTGACCGTGGCATTCTGAAGCGGATCTTGTTTTCTTTCAAGTCATGCATTCGATCTTCTATCTGTAGCTCAACCTCCCAAGGAGTCAATTCCCCTCTTCAATGCACTGGGCAATGTCATAACTTCACACCATCTGCATAAATATTGCAGTCTGCAGAACATCTCTCTCAAGGTCGCTCTTGGACTCTCACTTGTATCATCATCTTCATGCAACAACCTTGCATAACTGTAGTCATTGTTCGATTCGAGAGACAAGCTTTGCATGTCAATTTCCAGACGCTCGTTGCTGGAAAACTTACTCGTGGTGTGAAGAACACACTCAGGAAATCCTTCTAATGTTTGTCCAAATACATGTCCAAGGACCTTCAATTTGTATAGCACTTCAAACTACGATATAGCACAAGTTCTCAACTGAAGATGTTGGGTCGCTGAAGCTAGTAGATTCTGTATCCCTGCAGTGTACCTGATGAAAGAGTTCTTGTGCTCGCCTGGTATCCTGACACGTCTGCATTCAGTGTATCTGACTCCGACTCTGCCTCTTCCCGCTCCTCCTCCTCTGCCTGCTCTGCCTGCTGCTCATGCACGTCCTCCTCCTCCTCCTCTTGCTGCTCATCAGGCGCTCCCTGCTCCTTCATCTTTGTCTGTCGGTCCTCACCAGCCTGATCGTACCCCACCACTGATTTAGAGGTCACAATGGGGGGTGGCTGGGTGTTACTCTGGCACCTACCTAGTTGTGCGAAGACAGGAGCTGCTTCCACTCGCTGCGATGGCGGGATCGTGGTGGACGCTCCTCTCTCTTGCTGGTCTTGTGCTTCTTGCAACTATCGACGCCTTTGGTCCCTCCATGCCTCTCGTGGCTACTCCAACATGGAAATCTGTCTGCTCTCGCTACAAGAGGACCGGGACTAGAGCCGGACTCAGCTGATCGACCGATCGTGTTGAGGAGTGTCGATGGAGCAGGGAGGGAAGTCCCCGCCGGAACCCCGATTTTCATGACACAACAAGGAGGATCAAGCTCAGAGGAGTTTTCTTCTCTGGATGCGCAGATTGCCAAAGTCGAGAGGGAGATCGATCAGGTCATCCAACAGCTGGACGAGGACGAACGGTTCGTCCTGGACACAAACGACAGGGTTTTGCAAACATACTGGCGAGGTAAAGTGGAGCAGCTTCGCAGTAGACAGGAGCAGCTTCCCAGAGAAGACTCTCCGGAGCAGCTTCGTGAAAAAAAAGTTGTGATCCGGGCCGGGCCGATGATCGGACCGCTGAGTGCTGACCTTCGGAAGGCCCCGGCCGACCGTACGGTAGTGCAGTCACGCCGCAGGATCATTATACTTGTCACTAGTACCGAGCGAGTCCCACGTGACTGCTGTCAGCTGGTACAAATCATTAGTACCAAAATCTGCCAGATACCGGAGATTTACAAAGTTTTAGTTGAAGAGTACGCCTGACCCCCACCCACAACAAGTCTTACGACTTCTGTAAAATAGGGGGTAGTTTAGATTTATTGGGGTGGTCAGGGATGGATGATATTTACCAAGGTTACCAAAGGTAGAGAATCATTCGGTTAAAAGACTAAGTAAAACTATGAATGGTAGTATCTAGTGTCCACAAGCTTGAGTCGGTTTGCGTTGAATTGAAATTCCTGAGGGGTAGGTCCGGATATCATTGAAGGGTGGGTGGTAAGATACGAGCAGTCGCTGTAATGCAAGAACCATGGGCAACGGCGACAATGAAGAGAAGAAAGGAGAGAGGATGGAGAGGAGCGCGATTAGCAGGAGAGGAGATATAGATATGAACATGCGCTAGAGATTCTCAGAAGCTCTTGCTCAGACGATGCTGCCCTCCATTGAAGCACTGCACATGGCAAACGAGAACCGAACACGTCATTGAAGTATCGCAAGTTCTTTGCGGCGGGAAATTCCAACCTTATGATCGTGGAAGTTCAAGGCAGCAATATTTTGTCACTCAACAGACCGCAGGAAGATCCTCCTCATGTCTTTGTCTACAGGTTGCATCCTGAAGACAACATGACCGATGTCCGACATGCTGACGAGAAGAAGTTATCGGAGCGACTACATGCGGCTCTCCACGACATCCTCTCCTCCTCGGAGCCTCAGGGCATCCTCAAGATCTACTCCGGCAAGACTTACCTTGACATGTCCTGCTTGCCTGCCCCCGACGAGCAGGAGACGACTGGGTCCAGGGCCAGATACCTGTGGAGCTGCTCGGTGTTCGTACCCGTGATCAGCTGGGGGAAGGGCGGGAGCGTGCTGGAGCAGCTGGGGAGGATCAACGAGGAGCATGACTACGTCAGCGACTTTCTCGTGCACGCGCTGACAGCTCTCTACTTGCTCAACAAGGACGCCGGGAGGCTGAAGGCGGTTCTGCCCATCCTGCGGGACGAGTCGGGGGGCAAGACATCTATGTCCAGCGCGTTCGACAGGTTGAGTCACAAGGCGTCGATGAGCAGCTGCGAGCGGGCGAGCGAGGTGCTGCTGGAGGTGGGGGTGCGGAGGGAGAAGGAGGCGATCCTGCAGTACCTGCTGGGGGTGTCCGTCAGAGATGCGGTAGCAATGCTGCTGCCGGCGGTGCGAGGGGCGCAGGGAGTGCAGGAGGAGGAGAGAGGGAGGAGGAGCAAGGGGGTGTATGGCATGTACGTGGCGGCGGAGAATGACGTGGAGAGGAGCGCGGTGGAGGCGGGGGAACTCATAGTAGCTTGCCTGTCCAAGATAGTGCGGGAGCACGTTGATCGCAAGTTGTGGGAGTTTTCCAACCACAACCCGCGGGGGATAGAGGTGCTGCAGGTGCTGCGTGAGAGTGGCTTGCACGACAGGTTCTTCGAGTTCTTCGCGCTCAGGGGCATCGAGACCATCCACAAGGTGAGCAAGCACACCAAGACCTCCTTCATGCACAGGCGATGCGGGGCCGTGACCAGGTCCTGCGACGAGGTCCTGGCTGCCCTCCAGCACCACGATGAGAGCTCCGTCCGGACGCTGGAGAAACTGGTGGAGGACTACAGGGAGGACGAGCGCTTCCTCCCCCTCAACGAGCGGCTCCGGCGCTACCGGGACTCCGACGTCCACGGAGTCCTCGCCCTGCGCACCAGCAACTCGCTGGAGACAGCGCTTGTCAAGCTGCCAGCCAGGAGCTGCGTCGTCTTCCTCAGCCTCGTCTACCTCGTCTTCGGCGTCAAGCAGCTGGGGCTGCTGGGAACAGATCAGCTCTGGCTTCCGCACACGAACAGCAGCACGCCTGTCTCCCCTCGAGTCGTGCGCATCTCGACGGTGGCAGATCCCATCATCAGCTTCACCTGGAGCTTCCTCTTCCTCTCTGGTATCGTCCTCTCCCTCTTCAGCACCCCCCTGCAAGGCAAGCGCCTCCTGCTCGCCACAGGGCACCTGGTGATCGCCGGCAACGTCATGTGCGTTGTGGCCGACGCGCTACAGTGCTCGAGAGAGGGGACGGGGATCGGATCGGTGTGCAACTCCAACATGAAGGTGGTGGCGATCGTGCTGCTGATGCTCATCATGTACCTTGCTCACTTCGTCCAGCACTACTTCTGGCTCTCCGCCTTCTTCATGCAGGGCGCCTACTGCCTCCTCGTCTCGGCTTCCGTCTCGCACGTTGCTGAGCTCTCGATCTTCCTCCTCCTCGGGCTCGGCTGCTGGGCCGTCGGCCTGCTCATCGTCGTCAAGTACCACCTTGCGTACCGGAAGACGTTCAGAGAGCTCAAGGTCGCCATGCTCGGCTTCGAGGAGACGTGGAGGGGAGTGATGAGGGAGAAGGCGCGGGCGGTGGAGGAGATCAGCGTGCTCGCGCGAGCGATCGCGGAGGAGCTGGAGGAGAAGGTCAGGGAGGACACGAAGACGTGGGGGAGGCTGCTGTGCGTGACGCTGGGGCTGAAGGAGAGGAGGTACTCGAGGAGGAACGGGAAGATCCGGCAGGCGAGCCGAGACTTCGAGCAGCTCTTCCTCCAGGCGCAGGAGGTCAGCGCCGCCTTCCAGCTGTGGGTGTCCGGGTGGAACCGGGTGGGGCGGGTGGAGCATGGTAACGTCAAGTCTTGCGCGCGAGCGATGCAGAAGACGGTGAGGTCGTACAGGCGCGACCCCTCGTGCCTGACCGACCTGGTGCGATGTACCATCGTGGTGCAGTCGGTGGAGGAGGTTCAGGAATGGCTGAGCTCCT